ATAATAATAATAATAATAGTCACACCTACCTTGATATTTTCAGCAATGATATCTGCATCATCACATATTGATTCTACAAAAAAGACCTATACAGGTGGAAAAAGAAAGATTTAAGCTGTTGTATAAGAAAATCTATTTTTAAAGACGGGTCAAAGTAAGCAAACCTTGTAACCATTTTCTTTGGCAAAGTTGAGGATGTCTTCTCTGCGATCGGGAGTAGTGTTGGTGGCATCAAAAACCTAACAGAAAAAAAAACAAGATAAGAAAAACTGCTTTTACTGGAAGTTTCTTTTTTGCAGAATGAGTGGGGCCTAGCAAAAATTACTGAGTGATAAAATTATTTTGATGTGTTTGTTAATCTCTGGATTATAAGGTATATCGTTAGGATCTGTCTTCTTGTGTCTTATCTGATGTCTCCATCTTGTGTCTGTTTGGTACCGTTGCTCTTTGACCTCAGTCTTAGTTCACTCTGGATCATTCCTTCTCACCTGTCAACAGTTCTGTAATCAGTCCTCCTCAGCTGTACTTCATCATCCTCATTCCTTCTGTGTATAAATTCTGGTTTGTCTCCTTCATTTACTGCTGGTTTATTGTATGGCTTCAGTCCATTGTCTCGGTCCCTTATCCTCTTGTGTGCCTCCCAAAAGTTTTGTTAAGTTTTGCTGCCTTGTCAGCCTTTGTTTTTGTTACTAAATATTTTATTATTTGARCTTTTTTGAGTCTGCCTGGTTTTGGGTTCATTCACCCCACGCCATTGACAATATCTGTTAACATATTCTGTAAGATTAACATTTTGTTTCCTAAATTTTAAATAGCAAAAAAATAAAATGTATACATATTGCAAGTAATTTGTATATTAAACAATGTCTGACCCTGACTGGCCTCTTTCTGTGAAGATTGCAGTGCAGTTGATTCATTTTCATTGTAATTTTGTTTCTAAAAATTAATGCCCACTTTGCAGACTTGAAACAACAGTGAGCTGAGATTTAATTGATTTTCTTTAAATTCAGGCACAACAACCTGTAGCAAACTGTACCAGAGCAGAGAGATGCTGTTTGATGTAAACTTTTGTCCATTATCAATTTAATAGTGCAAGAGTTTCCTTCTAAATCAATAACAGAAGTTAGACATGCAATGACAGTGTTTGTAATACGAGTAAATGCTCCTTCTGGCCATATACTCAAATAATTACTAAATGCTACATTTTGTTATTCTAAGAGATTTTAGGTGGCAAATCTTGCACAACTTTCTAAATCTCACTGCCAATATACACTCACACAACTGAAGCTTTGTTCTTGATGTTATCTTTCATCAACAGATTGTTCATTTAAAACTGGTAACATAACAAATTTGTGACAGAATATCAAAAGCCTACACCACAGGGAGAGGAGGTACTGTATGTGAGCAGGTACAGTCTAAAGCAGGGGTGTCAAACATTTTCACCGAGGGCCATATGAGCGTTATGGTGGCCCTCGAAGGGCCTCTTGTAATGAACTTTGATGAACTTTGTAATGAACAGAGCAATGTTGTATATGCTGTTAAGTGCCAGGAGGACTGCGACCAGTTATACATCGGGGAAACAAAGCAACCACTGTTCAAAAGAATGTCC